ATACTTAAGGTGGCAGCATGACAAACTTATGTGAATTTCCACATTGTCATATCAGGATTTGAAAATTCATACCTTGATGTAAAATTTAAAATAAACTTTTCATGAAGTTCTACAAATTCAATTTTCCCAGGACTGTCCAACCAAATACCAGACAGACAGACGTATCTCACCGGATCGACAAGCTCGAGTTGCTGGAGCTCCCCGACTGGTAGGCGGCCAGCCCCCCGTGGCCCTCCAGGTCCGCGTCGCTGTGAAGGAAGGGAGATCAACAGGGTCAGCATCGAGTACACCGCCAGAGTCACGACGTCGCACCACACCAAGGCCCTCCGGTGGGGAATGACCACAGCGGCTCACCGAGACGACAGTAAATCACATTTCAACTTCAATCACGCCCGGAAAAACCCTCACCGCAGCACGGAGACACAGAGATAGATAGAGATAGAGAGGAAGTGGAAAAGGGACAAAGACACAGGATTCAAAAGCAAGGGGTCTCACCTCTTGCGGTCCGGGTTATGGGGACCGAATGGAAGCCTCGTTTGTCGACCACTCCGTTCCTCTACATGTCTGCGAAGGTCACAATAAAAAAATGGAGAAAGGGGTTAGAAGGAAGAGGGCGAGGAAGGAACGGAGGGGGAGGGATGGGGGTCGCATAGGCTTACCCGGTCCAACCCGGTCCCACCAAGCAGAACACAACACGAATAATTTTCACACAATCACTCTCTCACACTCCACAACAGTGATCTCACCGAGGGGTCCGTCACTATAATTTGTAGCGTACACTGATTTTTCTGTTTTTCTTGATGTTTTGTTATTTTTGTGATTTCTGATTTTTTTCTAACTCATCGTTAATTTTAAAGATTTATTAAAGTGATTTTTTCATGATTTTTTATGAGGTTTTCGTGATTTTTTCTGAGGGTGTACACTGACTTTTTTGAGTGAAGGACCCCTCGGATCTCACGCTCTCTCACACGGGGATGGAACAAGACGTAGCAACGGCTGAGCCATAGCCATACCGGAGCACGGCGGGCGCGGATCGCTTCGTTGGAGACTAAGTTTCCGCCAATTAGTTAACGCGCCGAGCTCAGCGGTGCGCGGACGTGGACCACTCGGATGTCGCAGGTCGCAGATCCGAGTCATCCTCAGGAGGAAGCCCAAGGCAAGTCGATTACTGCCCAGATTTGTTTTCTTATTTCCCGCATGCTTTTGGATTTTTGCGAGAACAAAAGTTTTCGAGAACGGAACTAATCTTAGTTTCGGAAACCCATACCTGTCCTCTATTTTCCCCTGAATGACAAATATGTTTTTTCGGTTTCCAGGGCATGACTTTCTGTATTGGAAGTGGATTGGATAAACTTCCGCGCGCTCGGGCTGCGCGAGACACCGGACCTCGCACGCGAACAACAACCCGCCGCCCACACCGCGTCGCGCGTCGCGTCCTGCAACACTCCTGTAATGTATGCGTGCACAATGCTACTCACTTGCTCTTGGAGAGGTTGGGGTCACTCGTCTTGCGGCGCTCACGAAGCTGCTTCTGTAACCAGACACGAACCAGAGTTGTTTATTTCTTGTTTTGAATAGTTTTGAAATAAATAAGGAAGGCGCTGAAAGTAAAGTTATACTAAGAAATAAATGTACGTTTGTGTTTCTTTCACACATTTTCCAGTTTTGAGCGTTGCGTTGTTTTTCTTTTCTTTTCCGGTGTATACAGGCGGGGCCAGCTACCCCCATGCTCTGATAAGATACACGCGCCGCACACGAGCCCCCTATCGGATGCAACCCTCGTGGAGTTGATATACCCCCTTTAGGCACACGGCGCTACCGGAGCCTGGCTCGCCATTCAGACGGCCACCGTGATGGGGTGCAAGTAGGTCGCCGTGCTGCTGGCCGTAAGGCTCGGCGCAGCATGGGCAGATGGAACGCAACGAGGGAGAGCCGGGGGGTGCATTTCGTTCGACACCTTGCGAAACAGGATTTGGGCTTGTCCCGCGGACTCCCCTCCCCTCTCCTCCCTCCCTCCCCCAATCCCCATCCCCTTCCCGACACGCTCACAGCCCCAGCACACTACCAAATGTCAAGTGCATCCGAACCACCCACAAATGTCAAGCCCCCCTCCTTTCCCCCAACAGTTTAACATTCGACCAAAAATTATGATGTTGTTGCTGTCGAACGCTTCTTTGGTTGGAAAACATGACCAATGTTTGTACAGTTCGTAACATTTTCCTGGTAGGTTTAAAATCGGCTTGAAAACAAAATCGGCTTATTAAAACTGGAACGTTCATCGGCAATATTTATCAAAACGGGAAACTTTTACCTTCGAGTAGAGACAGCCACTGCGGACTGTCTAAAAAGCTTGGCACATCAACCAATGCACTTATTGATTATAGAATAGGGCCATGATAAAAGAATACCCATTTCAAAAAACTACGAGGGTCATGATTTAAGTGCCTTCATTTGACAAACTTCGAGGCCTCTATTGGCCCAAAGCTTTGATTACCCTCCCTACCGATCAAAAAACGTCGAGTGCCATAGTAAAAGAACACCAGCTCGAAGGTTTACATGTAAGTAGCCATGATAAAAGTAGCCCCTCGAAAACCAACACATAGACCATAGTAAAAATACTCCACTTCTAACAAATACAAATCTGCGATACACCACCGGAAACCCAAGTGCGTGAGTGTGAATGGGTGAACGCCATCCGTACACACAGAGGCACAAGTGTGAGATTTTTAAGAGGTAAAATTAACTCCCTGAAGTGTACGAATGCGGGCAATCACACACCCACAAGTGTACGGATGGGCATTCACACACCTACAAGTGTGCGACATTCTTACCTTTTGCGAGACGCGCTCGCGGTAGCTCTCCGAGCGGTTGATGCTGCTCCCTTTGGCCTTGCCCAGCATCCGAGACGGGCTGCAACAAGCGCGGACAAGCAGTCAGTAAGGTGCAAGCACAATGAGAGGGGGGCACACCGAACAAACTGCACAGGAGCTGACTGGGAAGAAAAAAATAAATAAAAATATTCAAGCACATATCAAAATAGATTTGAAATATAAACAACTTAATAGTTTTGTATAAGAACAGAGAGGGAAGCCAAGCTCTAAAAACCCTTTAACATCTAACATTTAGAGGATACCAAATGTTGGCAAAGAAACAGGCACGACACACATGCAAAGCAGTATATATTCAGACTACACACGCATATCTGCAAAACGAAATAAAAGTAAAGTTTATAGAACGTTAGAGGATAGTCATTTCGTAAAACCAATACTGTGTATCAACGCGAGAGTAGTGCTGCTCGCCCAAATTCAGCGACGAATTTTCGAAGTCGGTCTAGGGTGAGAAACATGACTGCAACGTTGTTTACAGTAACAACCCAATAACGAATACAAGTGAAAAGTGACGTTTTCTATCCATAACCAGCTGTAACGGGGCTAGCGCTTCGTATCTTTTGAGATGCGCTCACCGTTGTAACTAGTTACGGACAACAAACAAAAGTCACTTGCCACTCAGAAAGTAAACCCAAAAGCACTGTCTTGGATCTAGTACAAAGAATTGAAGCAAGCAAATGTATTCATTGTATTGAGGAGTGTTCAGTGCTTGAATCAACAGGTATACTTTTCGATTTAAGAAATGTCTTTGCGGGGTACAAATAATATACAACAAAAGAGGTAAAAGAGAGTTCAACTCGAGCTAGAGAGAGCACAATGATTCAACTTCTAAACATTTTATAAAAAAAAAGGAACGCTGAAAAATAGAAGAAAACTCAACGGCGCTGGATGGAATGAAGGAAGTAAAAACGAGATAAGTAAATCAAAGACAGTCATAGGTATTCACACAACTTACACAAAAAAGCAAAAATAATTGAGAGAGCGAGAGCAAAGAAAATAATGGTTTCAGAAATATGCCGCGGAAGACTGCTGACTGTGCTGGGGAAACATTGATACCCTGAATGATGTCCGTCATACAACCGCTACCCGCACACACACATACACACACAATCACTGTATTTTTCAAACAAAAAAAGGGAAAATTAATTAAAATAGAATATGTAAAGGTACATTTACAATAGCTCAACGATTTAGTTACTGTATTTTTCAAACGAGTTAGTAGCAAACTAGATTGTGTACACACTAAAATCTTATGATCATTTTTATTTATAGCTTGCAGAGTTCTGTAAACATGCCCAGCTAACGCATTTTTTAATACGCCAGTATGAACAAATGTCTTCAAACTGGCACATTCAAAAATGCGTAAGCCGATCATGTTTACAGAACTCTGTAAGCTATGAGTAAGATCATAAGATTTTAGTGTGTATACACACTGCCTCAAATGATGTTCGTCATACAACCGCAACCAGCCACACACACACAATCACTGTATTTCTTTAAAAAAAAGTAAAATTAATTAAATTAGTATATGTAAGGGTACACAATAGCTGAACGATTTAGTTACTGTATTCTCAAAGAGAATAAAAAGATAACTAGATTCGGTGCCTGACTACGTACAATGTTTTTATATCTTTTCGAAAGCGACAGCTTGGAATTCCAAACTTACAAAGCAAATCTTCTTTGGTGTCCAGGTTGTCGTTTTTCTTTTACCATAGTGTGCCAACAGTTGTAACATGCAGTCCGACAGTTTAGTACGCACAGTGTATCACGAGTATCCTGACACGTGCTCGGGATGATCAACAGGACGCCGAGTCCACTCACCTAGGAGCGCCACCCAGCTTGTTGGCGAGCCGCCTGGCCGGCGAGGCCGCGAGCTGCACCAGCTCGGCGACGTCGAGCGGCGACCTGGACCTGGGGGCCCGGGCCTCCGCAACGACCTCTGCCCGCGCCCTCGCCACCCTGTCCGACGAGGACACCGACGACGCCCTCCGGAAGAGGGCGGTCCTCTTCGAGGACGTCGACGTGGCCGGGGGTGTCGAAGGTTGACAAGAACGCGTCGTCATGGTAGGGTTATCAAATTCTATACTAATTCCACTACGGAGAGTATAACTTTCTTCACTACGGGCGAGAGCCACAACTAACACACATATAAATCATTTCAAAGGGGCACAACGCGCTATTTGTCAGCGGCCTACTCTGCAAACTGTTTGAACGTGACATCGGTTTTAGTTTCAAACGTTGTATTCGGCGTTTTTGATTATTCTTTTCGGCGCGCGATTTGAACGTGTTGTGTTATCGTGCGCTGCCGGGCCCACGCACGCGCTCCCGAGCCAGTCGCGCGACTGATCGGCCCGTGGGCGAGGAGCTTCCTGTGCTAATTACAGGCGTCCTAGGGTCCTTACTACTGGCGGCGGCGACCCTCCTCCCCCCTCCCCTTCCCCAAGAAGAAAAAAGTAAAGGAAACATAATAAAAGATCTACCAAAAACTTGTACTACATAGTTGTATACACAATAGGCTACTACTACTATTGACATGCTTCATTCCCACAGCAACTTTGGCGTTCAACATAGAATACCAGTAAACAGCAACTAACTTAGCATACGCACTGTTTTTCAACGAATGTGACGTCACATTCGTTTCAATGTTAATCGTGTCACGTTCGTTTGAATGTTGTGTCATATTCGTTTAAACGTGAATCGGCCAAGCCTGGGCGCCATTAGAGCATCACCTCACCTGAAGTCACGTTTAAATGAATGTGACACAATATTCAAACGAATGTGACATGTTTCACATTAAAACGAATGTGACGTCACATTCCTTGAATAACAGTGCGGAGGTGTAGAAGAGTATGAACAGACTTGTATAAATTAAATAATATTTTAGGGTGCGCTGACAAAACTCCTGAAAAAACTAAAGCGAACTGAAAATTGTTTTTAAGGCAGACGATACATTTAACACTGAACTAGAGAATAATTAATGTAATAATATGATAATATGTGAGTTTTAACTTGTACTCCCAAACAGCGAGTGACGAGAAGCAACACGACGGGTACTTCGCACCCCCAACACAACGGCATTAAAAATCGAGGAGTGAAGTTTCTCACTCCTTAGGGAATGATTTTGTTAATTTAACTACATCGTCATTGAGATAGCGGTATCATGATAAAGCTTCTGTACCTTGTCATTTTATAAGCGTCAATATAATTCTATAAGCGGGATCCTAGGTAAACCTCCATCCAATTTTGAGACCTCAGAACACGCACGCCCCTCTTCTCCACAAACAAATGTATCGTCGGCTTTAATAGCATATTCCCAGACGAAACTTTTATTTTTAGATTTACCTATATACGTTAGGAATTCAAGATGCCTCGTCGTAACATTTACATAAAAGAGGGCATCAAATGTAGAGTGCTTTAAATACTCAAGTCCTTAAGTGGGTGGGCATCGTAACGACAAATACATTTACAGGCGTTATGTCTGACACCAAATAAAAGGTAAAGGGAGCATAAATAACACCGATCTAGGCCAGCCTACCACATCTAGCTAAAAAACAGCAGCTAATACGGGCTGTAACACCTTAGGGAAATAACAGATTAACAGATGAATTTTTATTAATATTTGGTAGTATGGCCACACTGTAAACTATGGTTCGCGTCTTATGACGCCAAAATATTGGCGTTCTCCGGAGAACCGTTCAAAGACTAATGTTTGGCGTTCTGAAAAGAAGAACGCCAACCAGTTAACAGTGAAAATATAGACGCCAGATGCCAAAACGACGCCAGATGCTGGAGTTCAAAGACACCAATATTTGGCGTTCTGCAAAGAGGGACAACAATATTTTGCGTTCGGCGAAGAGGAACGCCAATATTTGGCGTTCCTTAGAGGACGCTAATAATTTGGCAATAAAAAACGCCGCCAGTTTTGAGTAGGGAAAAATGCTTAATGATGGACACCTTAGAGGAGATGGATCTGCCCAGTGGGACACCCCTTTTTCTTGGAATGTAAACAACGAAGCGAGGTAGTTTCGCTTATGATACCACGGTAGGAGTCTTACTAGAAAATTAGTTTCGTGCCAAAGGTCGTAAAGTGACGAGTTTGGCTGCAAATCGAAAACAGTGGCCAGCACTGGTACAGCGCACATCACTGGGCACCTTACCCTAGCATAACTTGAGCATTGAAGTGCGTTTACATACCCACCGATCGCACATCCAGAATCACTCTCGCCCGACGGGGAGACCATGGTTTCACAGGATTTAACATAACTTTCGGGGGGGAAAACATAAGACGAACCATTGAACGATCAGTTATGTCTAGTATTGCCGTCACCATCTTTTCGCCTAAAAAGTCAATCAAAAGTGTAAATTAGGGCCATACTACCAGATTATAAAGCAAAATGCACCAGTTTGTGTGTTAATCTGTTAGTATCATAAGATGATACAGTCATAAAGTCTGCAATAACAGAGCCCTGGTAAAACCTTACAGAGAAGCACTTTAACTGCTCTTGAGTAAAGTAAATTACGATGGCAATTGAGCAATAAAGTGGTTTGCTGCAAAAAAAATAATTTCAACAGTCCCAGGTTTACTGTCAACTTCGATACTGTAAAGTTTTATCAGTTTTGTGGACAACGGGACGGGGACTTACCTGAAATACGATTTTAGTGTGAGGGACAAGTCTCTTAACTTCTTAGTCTTAGCCAAAAAACGACTTATTGGATCCTTTCGAGGAACTCTCTTTTTTGCCCATCTGGCCAACAAACATCCAAAAACACACCAGTTATTTTGTGAAATGTAACCGCAACCGAGATGGATCTGCAACTTCAGTTTGCCGGTATGTATAAATATTCTGGTCTGCCGGTCTTCCTTGAGTTTTCTTTACGTAATCAATCAGCCATCCAGAAGCAAGCGTTAAGTATTCCTAGATTCCCACGAGTTTCCTGAGATCTGAGATCGTCGATATTCTCTTGTTTTTCTTGAGACTTTTACTAAATTTTCTTCTCTTTAACTTTATTTGCTTCGATATCTTTTTATCTAACCTGTTGTTTCTGAGTTCTTCCGACGACAGCGACCACTTCAATATCAAGTTCTTTACCGATTACGGTCATTTAACAATTTTTCATGGACTATAAGCCTAAAAATCTGTTTGAACTGGTTTGTTTATATGGGGATGCACATGTTTGGGGACAAGCGTGCTTTTTATAGGAAAAGAACTGGAAAAACAAAGGTAAAGTGCCATATAATGCCTTTTAAGTCGTTTGGTAAAAGTTAGTGCATAGTGCCTCTAAAACAAAGCGCTATCCCCCCCCCCTCCCCGATTTACTACTTTCTTTTGCAGCAATTTTTTGCAAAGAAGCATGGAGCGACCAAAATACACACTCGAACCCAAGTTGCAGACCTGTCGCAGACGGTCACAAGCTACAGAGGGGTTGACAACTCTGAGAATCATGTGTGCGCCGGCCTGGGAATAATGCCGGGAATAATTGGTAATCGCGCTCTGGAAACTCAAATGTGATACTGTCCAACAGTTATACGTGCAATACAATGAGTATCACACTTTAAAGCGTGATACTGTCCAACAGTTATAAGTGCAATACAGTGAGTATCACACTGGTGGTACTACACTTGAACAGTAACACACTTGAGTTTCCAGAGCGGGTATCACTGAGAAAATACAGAGAATCACGGGGAACTAACGGGACTCAACTGGCAACATCTAGGGAGCTGTGGGATCATCGAGAATCACAAGGAATCAAAGGGGAATCAGGGTATCATCATAAACTTTCAGGCGGGAGTCACCCGAACCCGGAATCTCGGAAATCGGTGCGAATCAATCGAAATCAGGGGAAAACAATGACAGGGAATCAACAGAATAAGTATTCCCAGGAAACACGTACACTTCAAATGGAGTGGTTAGCTTCTCACAGGCTATCTACGTCGGGTCGGAGGCACAGATTTTGTCTATTACAACTGCCACGAACAACTGCATAACACTTCTTTATTTATTTACAGAGTTTGACAACTCTTGTAGGTGCTTTTCGAGAATATTTTCAGCATTGCTGTAGTGCAGATATTGTTGAGGCCACCTGTTAAAATGTCACATACAGAGAAGCTTTCTCAGTTCTGCACAAGCGAATTTGCAGCAAAAAGCCACAGAAAACTATAATTCTGTACCTCCAAATGGTCCAATACTGTGAAAAATATTACAGAAAATCCTGAAAGAATAAGCTGCGTTACAATCAGGATTGCATCAGATCAGGAGCCTGTACACAACAAAGAGGTTCGTTACAAATCCGCTGCCTTCACCGCAGGTCAGTACTCGATGGTTGCGATCCTACAAGAAGACGGGGAGGTTAATGATCCAAACGTAAAAAATCTTCGGAAAACAAAAAAACTGCATCAAAAAACAGCTCATGATTGAATGGAACTGAATCCACACACTAATATCTTATGAACATTTTCATTCATAGCTTACTGAATGTTTAAAATGCGGAGCATGTTTACAGAACTAAAAAGCGGAAAAAGAATAAAAATGTTCCACAAGATTTTAGTGTGCACTAAGTCTGGTTTTGCGATACTTTTAAACAAAAACTTGCGATAACTTTGTTTTGCGTTATCATGCCGTAAAGTATAGAGATAAAATCATTGGGGCAAAAGTATTACAACTTTTTATAACAAAATTTCAGGATAAAAAATTATCACATTTTTTTAAAATGATAATAACCTACACATTTCATTGCAAATATAAAGTTATCATGAGTTAACAAGAGAATCGCATAACACCAGTTATCGCAAAAACTCAGTATAACGTAAAACGGATATTTCAGTGTCCAAAACCTCGTCCGATTCCTAAACTCGTGGGGCCGACACGGTCGCTGAAGAGTTCAATAAGACGCACTCATACAGTCTTGACTCGCTGCACTGCCGCGGTGCTGTAACGCTAAAGATCAGTCCCGGGTGCAGGCGAGGCAGGTGCTGCTGCCGCCACGCTTGCGAGGGCGCGCCCTTACCTGGAGTCACCCTGGGCCTCGGCCGAGCTGGACAGGGCGAGGCTGGCCAGCGCGGCAGAGGGGCTTCCCCCGGCAGCCGGCCCTAGCCCGCCGCCGGCACCGCCCCCCGAGGCGGGACCCGCCCCCGCGCCGCCCCCACCGCCGCCGCCAGCCGCCGCCGCGCCGCTAGGGCCGGCGCAGCTCGCCTCCTCCGCGCCCCCGGGGCCGGGGTCCGACCGGTCCCTCTTGTCCGTCAGCTTGCCTGGACGGTCTCCTGCAACATAAGACAGTGGATCGTTGTAATTACAAAATTTACACGAGAACCCGCGTAGCTGATGTACCCCGCAGAAAGGCAACATGACATGTTCCGGTGGCAAGTTCGAAACCTTGTTCGAAACCTTGTTCGAAACCTTGATTTGCTGCCCGCTCCCCTTCACATTCACAGTCAGACTCGGACACTTCACATGTTTAAATACATTTTACTTTACAGCGGCCTGGGTCGGGCTGGGTGGCGCCCCAACGCCGGCGCCACCCAGGGAGGCACGCAGCGAGCGGGCGCGACTCGCATGCGCGCCACGATCAGCAAATCCCTCGGCAGTTTGTATACGGCCTGCAAGTCCGGCCTGCAGTCGGGCCGGCACCGCCATGGAGACAAAGCGGCGCGGCCGTGAGCGGATTGCCCCGCTCACTTGTAGTTATCGGCCCGGCACAGCGCAGGCCTCGGCGGCACAGGCCTCGGCGGCACAGGCCGTGCGGACAACGGATGTACGCTCTTTGGCCCGCGATCGGACACAAGACAGATTTCAGGGAAAGCTGCAAGGAAAACCGGATAACACGGCGCGCGGCGTGGAAAACGCGCGCTGTCCCCGCGTCTGGTGGGAAAATTGGGGTGCAGTGGGGTGGAAGTAAGGAGTTTAGTAGTGAGACAAACTGCTGCTGGACGCGTATTGGACGACCTGTTGTCAAAATGTGCCCTCACTTCTACACGATGAAGAGATAAACTTAACCCCCCCAAAACGGGCAATGGCAGCAGCAGTCGATCCTCTGATGAGACACGCCGGACCGTACAATTCGGGGAAGCAGCCGTCGCTCACCTCTCAAGCGTGCCGTGACTTCACGTGTATTTGACATTTGACTTGTGTCAACGTTATTGGAATGAAGGGAAGGGAAGGGAAGGGAAGGGAAGGGAAGGGAAGGGAAGGGAAGGGAAAATAGGGTGTGGTAGGAGACATCCATTTACCCCGCTTCGACTGGCAATACTAATCCCCTTCATCCGATTCGCAGTAACGCTCGCGGCGATCATGTATGGACAAACTTCACCCCCCCCCCCCCCGAGCGCAGAGCGGCGCAGAGCGGCGCCCGCGCGGGTTGTTCAAAGTGGCACGACGCAAGACGCAAACATGGTCAGGCGCGCACGCACGCATGTTTCATAAAACACGCAGGTGTGGGCGGGTTTGCCTACCCAAGGGGATATGGCGCCTGACGGGCAGAGCAGAGCGGGTAGGCGAACCCGCCCGCACCTGTGCCCTTTATGAACCACCCGGTACGCAAAGGGTGGACGGCCTTCACGGAGCGCGCGCTCAAGTGCTCAAGTGTTTGGTCGTTCCGCGACGTTTGAAAACACGAACACGAATGTGAGTTTAAGCGGCGCGGAGGAAAGTTTTTTTCTTTCTTTTTTTTTAACTGACAGCGCGCAACTGACCTTCCACGAAGATGGTGAACCAGTTGTAGTAGACGAAGCGCACCAGGTGCGAGAGGGGCGCGCCGTCCAGCCCGCTGCCACCGCCGTCCAGCCACATGCTCCGGGGGGGCGGCCCGCCCCAGGCGCGCCCCCGCCCCGCCAGGCTCCGCCACGCCACGACGTTGCCGAGAGTTCGGAGGGGCGCGCGTGTCGCGGCCGCGACAGACGAGACGCACGAGTGCACTACTCGTGCGAATGGCAGGTGAATCTGCCGCGCGGCTGGGCGGGGCGGGGCGGGGCGAGCGCGGACAGCGCCGCAAGACAACGACCGCACGATAGTTTGAGCGAGCGAGGTGTTCCATCGCCCCCGTCCCGTGCGCCTCGTCGCGCACCGCGCTCTCAAGGTCTCCTTTATTGGGAGGGAGCGACAAGTGTCGAGAGAAGCAAGGAAAGGGGGGGGGGGGGGAGACACGACGACACGACTGAAACAAGAACCCCTGACGAACTCGCGTGCTATGTCCGGATTAATCCAGGACCGCCACCCTTTCAAAAGCTATAGAATAACAAAAAACGGATATGCACAAAAGCCTTGTCGAGCGGATTACCCGGGATTACCCAAGTGGTCTCCACCTCGCGTTAGGGAGCGCCCAGAAAGTACGTCCAAAACGTTCCAAAACAGCCAAAGCGAGAGCCAAAGACCAAGTCCTCATGGCGCCTGATGGGTAGGCAACATCTTGCTTGCAGTGCATGCGTGTACTGCGGGGTGGCCTACCCGGAGTCTCGCAGGCGCCGAGTTCCTGTAGTTTGACGACATGAATCTGAAAAGACGTGCCGAGACAGCCGTATTTTCTATACGATTCCTTAACGAAAGTGTGCAACTAGCATAAACACAATACGTAGTGTTAAAGGCCATGGTGCCCACGCTACGAAGTGTTGAACTGGAAAGCCGAATACTTATTAAGTGTTCAACTGTAATTACTTTTGGAAAGTGGATGACATTTCCAGTTACCTCGTGAGATGAGCCTTTAAACAGGCTGCCAGTTGCCACGTGACGTTGGGTCCAAAGTGCCCAGTAGCATAACTTGGTTAACGGATACCGAAATAATCCAAAGGCGGCCCATTTCGGCCCATCGCGGCCCTTTAAAGCGAGCGCGTAACGCTTAGGCCACAAGAAGGGCTCCTCTCCCTCCCTGCGCGACACATAGATGGATCTATTTCCGGCCTTGTGTGAGGAGGAGACGCATCCTGTAGCATCCTGCAGGGGGCGGGCAGCCTCAGCCGGAAGTGCGGCCGGCTCCCTCAGCCCCCTCGGGGCTCTCCGCACCACAGAGGGGAGGACGTAAACACATAGTATGCAAATTTACAAACAAAATGCCACAATTTGTTGAAATATTTGGCAAAAATACTACGCAAGGTTTGCGGGCTTTATTTTGGGATTTCATTTTGGACCCCCTCCGCCCCTCCTCTGTCAGCTCAGACTGTCTACATTGCCTGTAAAGTAAAGGCGCGTGCTATGTGTAAAGGATGGAGACGCGGCCGTGACTCCATATACAAAGACAGTAAAAAGAGTAGACAATGTATGATAATGACCACACTATATCTACATTGAAAGAGGTGTGCACGTACACGATTTCTTCGAACTGCCGCCCTCCCCTTGCATCGATCCCTCTGACAAAATTTTCCGTGATGAGTCCGTAACGAGCGCGGCAAGCGCCAGTGGAAGACATACTCACTCCCCCTCCCTCCTCCCTC